ATTCAGAATGGCCACGCAACATCCAGCCAGTTTTCCAGTCTCAATTGCTTCCCACAGCTGCAGGAAAATTTTTAGCTACCTACCTTTTCAGAGTAATCAGCAAAGAAAGTAACCAAAACTGATTCTGTTTATTCTTATCATTACTCATTATGTGTTATGTGGCCTTTCATACAGGCTAACAACATCTAGAATTGTTAAAATCCCACTTCTGACTGCGAGGGAACTGCACACAGGAGATTACAGAACTGTAGATTTGGACAAACTTGATTTGCAAATAACTAAGGAAATAATGGAATATTAGGAGAGATTGAGAAAGTATCTAGACTTACTTGAATCTTTATGTGTCGAGGTTAGCCAGACTAAATGAGCCCTGTGCCTCTGCTATGGACTTGCTCTTTGCTGTATAAGTGAACTCTTGGTAAGCACAGATAAACTAAAACCTGCTCCTCATTTAGCAAGACTGCAGTTGTGAGAGGGAAAGAACCCTAGATGTGAAGAAGTACACAGGCAGGTCAGGACCTTCTTGCCTACCATTTATTTCTGAACACTTCCTCAGCCTTCAAAGCCTTGCTCCCTCTGGCTTTTTGTTAGCAAGGGCTATTTCTGCGTGGCACAGAGGTCTTCACCCCAGAAACAGGATAGCATTGATTATTGTGTACAAACTAGTTAGGATTGCTGCACTGTGCCTGCTGCAACTGAATGGCTTTGTAACTCAAGCTAGGGTTCTCATGCAGCCTCTGGAAGTGAAATTATTAGTAAACTGGAGCTTGCCTGTCATTTCTCCACTGTGCTGTTGCATGATTAGAATATGCCCCAGGAGCACATGCCCTCTGGCTTCTATTTGACTATTGACTATAGGATTCAGAAATGCAAGGCGGCTTTGATCTTTGATCTTTTAGATCACTCTGATCTAAAGATTTTTATTTTCCTCAGGTAGCATCAGCTCCTTAATAACCATTTGCTAAATTTCAGTGAAACCACTTGGGAGCAATGTCAGAGAAGAGTGAAATTTTGGAAAGCTATATTAATTTTGTAGTGGAGCAGCAAATGTATTTTTCATCTTAGTATTGTTGATTTACTTTCTATTCTAGAAATAAATGGAAGAAAACTTGAAAAGGGTAGGGAACATTCAGTAGGGCTTGAGGAATTAATGTTAAATCATGAAACAGGAAAGGAAAGCTAAAGACACCAGAAAAACACTACACTTCCTGACAGCAGGAGTAACTCCTCCCCAAAGGATGAAGTCTTGCTTTTCTCCATAAAGTAAGGAGCAAATACAGGGTTGCTCTGCTCCTCCTTCTCCTTCTAGTTCACCATAATACAAATCTTCCCAGGGAAAAGGCTCTACAAGGAACCAGAAAGGGCCAGGAAGTGTCATGAGGCTTCTCCTATTCATCTTTCTGGGAGGAAAGGGCACCTTTTTCCAGACTTGGAGCTAGAACTGGTTAAAGAAGATGATGATGATCAAAATCAGTTGTACCAGGAATCATTTGAAAACAGGCTCAGAAGTATTATGTGGACTCTGTTCCTCCAGGTAAGCCCCTGAAAAAGCAGAAATGGGAGAAAGTGGGAAGGAAGGAGAGTTAGTCCAAAAGTTGATGCAAGTCTCATATTTGATTTAAGTGGAAAGTTTTAATGCAAAGACTGATGAAGTAATAAGTCTTTCCAGCAGGTCTTCACATATCTGAAGCCTTAATGTATGCATGTTTGTATTTCCTGTTATCCTTTCTGCCACTGAAGATCAGAAGATATGTTGAACTGCAGTCCTTCTCTTACAAAGATTTTGAGCTGTAATAGCTGCTTGATTGTAAATCTCAGAATGGAGAGCTGCACAGTTTACTTTAACAGCAGTGAGCAGTAAATACATCACCCTTAATGCCTTTCATCATGCTAGAAAGCTAATCCTGAGCCAAAGCAGATCCTGGTTAATGTTTACTGGGATGCAAATAAATGAACATGCCATAGATAAGTCGGATGTCTAAGAAGTCCTTGTCTCAAAAGGAAAGACAAACCCTCTTACGAGGCTTGATGCTTTTAAGCCAGTTAAGACTCATTTTAGGATTATCACATAAATTATTAAATATAGTAGGTAGCATTTAGAAATACATCAGAAACTACAAGAAAACTTTGCACGTGGCAAGTGACTATAATGTGACTGTGCTTTATAATAGTTTCCAAATTAAGGGTCGGGTAGAAAGGCATTTTCATTTGTTAAGGCTATGTTAAAGGACTGAATCTTGAGACATAAATGTCCAACTGATGCTGTATGTTGAATTCAAAGTAAGATTGATGTAATTATGCATCTGTCAGTCTGTTGAATCATGAGAATGTAAAGATTGTAATACATTGATTTCCCAAGGGCCAAGAAACTGAAAGCTACTCTGTCTTCTGCCTAATGCCTAGGAAAGGAAAGTCAGCGAGGAGGTCTTGAACAGGATCTTCTTGAAACCATAATTTCCAGCATAACAGCAATTTTCTTTCTTCCTTCTCTTTTAATAGATGTCCTCCATATTGAACTGTGTTATTCTGAAATGAATAAATGTTTTTTTTAGTTCTAGAGGCTAGGATGTTGCTTTTTACCACCCTTATCCCAAGTGTCTAGCTGTGTACAGGTACAGTAGAAGATACTCAATAACTGCATTTTGCTTTCCGCTTGTATAATTTGTTCCACATCTCTTTCAAAGCCACCTGAGGGAGCAGGAAACTGAATAGACTTGTCATGGAAGACAGATCTGTTCCACTAGCTGTCAGCTGGACTGTGTTTTACTGTTACATCCACCCTCTTATGTGGGTAAAGTCTCTCAGGCACTGCATAAAGGCCCTCACATTCTGCTTTTCTTCAGCCTACTGGCCTGTCTGAAGGCATTGTGAAATGCTAGTTAACATCCTCTTCCCTAGCATGGAAAAGGGCTAGAAGGTATTTGATCAGAGGAGGCCATAGCTATCCCAAAAACTTTGCTGTTTCCTGAAATACCCTGAGAGACTTTCCATAGCTCTGATGGACAGCTTTGGAAGTCTCCCAAGCTCAATAACTGGCTGAGTCCTCAGGGTTAAAACTACTTCTATTCTGACTTAAATGACAAGTCTAGTTTCTGCCTCAAAGGATCTGCAAGCTGGAGAAAGACTTATTCTAATAGATCTATATACCACCGTAGGAGAAAAGAAATTGTAAGGTAAGGCAAAATATATTTCCCTCCTTCTCAGATACTGTTTTGTAGTACCTAGGGGAATCACAAATACCTGTCAGGGGTATTGAAAGCCATTGAAGATATTGTCACAACCTAAAGCAGAGAAATTCTTATATTCTCCCCCCCTCGTTTTATGTTTCTAAGGCACTTATTTCCTTCATCCTAAAACACAGGCAGATATGCAAGTGTATTGACCTCCCATTGTTCTTATTGATACATTTTATTGTGGCAAATGCTAAAGGGTCACAGAACCTTGTTGCTAGTAGTAACTCTGAGAAAAGGCTTGCCTTCTGGAAAAGAGAAAAAACACAGATGTGACAAACTTTTTGTGGGATGTCATGTACACAGTACAGTACCTATTAGAATATTCCAAGGAATAAGTGACCAAGCAGAAGGATGCATGGTTCTGGTCAGAATGCAAAGAAAAATAATGAGAGGAAACTACCCGAGTGTTTATACCCTCTGCAATTACCTACTGTGAAGTCTATGGATGAAAATTGGAATACGTTTGCAGGAACTGAATTTCACATAGCTCTTCACTATTAAACTACTATTAAAAGCTAAAATTGGCCCCATCGTGCCATTGCATGGCTGTAAATATTCCTGTCAGGTACTTTCCTGAGTTGCATGTTTTTTTTGAGGAGAAATGCTTTTTATCTGCCACAAAATACAGTGTTGTTTAAGGCACATGGGTACAGTTTTCTTCAAAATACTATTACTTTTCTGTAATACTCTGTCCTGGGAAGGCCTTGCTGAAATACTTTGCTCATTGTTTGCTTAATATAACACAACTGGGATTTTATTTATTTTATTTTTTAGCAAACTAGGATGAATGATTTGCATTGCCTGAATTTAGACACTTGGACTTGGTCTGGAAGGTAGGTTTCTCTCTATAGCATTTAAAGTTGAATGTAACAGATTGAAACATATTGTTAAATAGTTCCACTGCTAATTTTGTATCTTTTCCAAGAGGAGAATGGGAGTTTGGGGACTATTTTAACAGCTGTTATATTGTGATTTCAATTTAATTTAATTTTATAGTGGTTACTAAGCTTTTTCTGTTCCACACCAAAGCGTTGATGATACTGTTTTAAGCACAGCATGTAGTGATTTGACATCCTAATTTTCAAGACCGGTACATTTATCCATATGGAATTTTGATGTCTTTTTGAATACTGTTTTTAGTGTCTATATTTGGCTGGTTATGGTACAGACTGTGGAAAGATCTCACCCCATCTAAGATAAGCATCTTAATGATTTCTTAAAAAATCAAGAAAAAGCATGACCATACTTCAATTTTAAACTAAATTAGGTATTAGGATACTTCCTAAGACTTGTTTGTTTGCATATAGCATATATGGTGGCACCTACTACGTGTGTAGAATCAGTTCATATATTGCTAGGTGATAAACCAGGAGATAAATGGATGGATGATAATCACTGTTCTGTTCCTATTCTCAAGGTAACCTAACTAATTTCATAAAAGACCATGAAATACACCTTTCCTGAGTACTGGTCCTCTGTATATATGGTGGCACCTACTACGTGTGTAGAATCAGTGCATATATTGCTAGATGATAAACCAGGAGATAAATGGATGGATGATAATCACTGTTCTGTACCTATTCTCAAGGTGACCTAACTAATTTCATAAAAGACCATGAATTACACCTTTCCAGTACTGGTCCTGCTCCAGGGCTTTATGTACTTCATATACCTGTGATGGACAACATTAATCACCTGTGACTGCTGATCTGATCCTACACCAAGTGGGTTCTCTGACCTGAGAGTAAAGCAAAGAAGTAGACATAATCATAGAACGGTTTGGGTTGGAAGGGACCTTAAAGATCATCTAGTTCGAACCCCCTTGCCATGGGCAGGGACACCTTCCACTAGACCAGGTTGTTCAAAGCCCTGTCCAGCCTGGCCTTGAACACTGCCAAGGATGGGGCACCCGCAGCATCTCTGGGCAACCTCTTCCAGTGCCTTACCACCCTCACAGGGGAGAACTTCTGCCCGATATCTAAGTCTCCCCTCTGCCAGTTAAAGCCATTCCCCCTTGTCCTGTCCCTAGAGGCCCTTGAAGAAAGCCCCTCTCCAGCTTTCTTGTCAGCCCCTTTAGGTACTGGAAGGCTTCTCTAAGGTCTGCCAGAGCCTTCTCTTCTCCAGGCTCGACAAGCCCAGCTCTCTCAGCCTGTCTCCAAATGAGAGGTGCTCCAGCCCTCTGAGCATCTTTGTGGCCTTCTCTGGACTTGCTCCAACAGGTGCACATCCTTCCTATGTTGGGGGCTGAGAGCTGGATGCAGTACTCTAGGTGAGGTCTCACAGAAGTGGAGTAGAGGGGGAGAATCCCCTTCCTTGACCTGCTCTTCACACTTCTTTTGGTACAGCCCAGGATATAGTTGGCTTTCTGGGCTGCAAGTGCACAATTCTTCATCTATTCCTTTGTGCTGCTGATGGGAGCACCACAAAGAAGTCCTACAGTGTCCTTTCAAAGATCTGTTAATACTTATGGGTGACTAATCAGTTTAATTCCTCCTTTTCATTGCTGGTTGTTTTAAAATTAACAGTGCTCTTTGTAAATGATAGCACTGTCTCTCTTAGACTGTGAACTATACCTCTGAGTGGATTGATTATTCAGATAATTGCTTTAGTTGCTTACTTTTTGTTGTTGCATGAGCAGTTGCTGGTTTTTTACTTTTTATTGCTCTTCAAAAGGAAACCTGGGACAGTTGAGTGAGAAGTCAGCGAGAGGAATTTCAAGCCCTGAAGGAGGGATGTCCAATCTCTGTCTTCAGCCAACGTTCCCTTTTGTTTGGCATTTGAAAACTAATATTAAAGTTTTTAAAAAGTGTTTTCTGGTCTTGACTTAACACCAGGCTGATTTTTCATACATATACACACGCATCCTTAGACTAAAGATGGTAACAGTAAATGCAGCATAAATTCCTAAAACCTAAGATTGTTCCAGTATCTATATTGTGATCCAAGAATAGCTCACAAGACTTATCCATGATTCAGTATAGACTTCGATCAGTATAAATTCAGTAGCCTACTATCCAGCCATTCTATAGCACCTCTGCAAAGAGTCCTTGAGACACTGAAAAAATACAGCAAAGAAGTGCTTGCTGAGACCAATATAGTTATGTATTGGGAATGTAAAATAAAGAAAAATCACTCTATGTCCTTTGAGTACCAACAATAGTTTTGAATAGTTCTACTCAGACAATCCCTTTGCAGCTGAAAACTGCTTATAAAAAGCTCTAGTGTCATTCCAGTATTTTACATATGGGGAAATTCCTTCAGATGTGTTTGCTGTTAGGGTAAGTATTTTCTCCTTCAGGTGTTTCTTGCAAGGAACCTTTCCTTTCTTATGCTATGGCTTTAGACTCCTTTCTACTGAAAATTCCGATGCAATAATGAATTAAAAAGTGGGCAAGATGCAGTCTTTCTTATCTTGGTATCAGAATTATCTCAGCCATTCTGCAGCTGCAGAGAGAGTGCCTTTGACTGCCCACATGAATTATCACTAAACAAGACCTGAGGATTTAATGCAGATTAAAAACTTTGCCTTCTGAATGCTGTTGACCATGGCAAAGTAACTGCAGTTGTTTAAAGTTTTGTAAAATACAGATATTCCAGCAAGGAGGACTTGATCTGTACAGTCCTACATTCAAATTCATTTACTGGACATGTGAGAGAAAAATTCAACTACAATAATGATTTTATTTAAAGACCCATGGCTTCTCATTAACCAATTATGTCAAGGTTTTGTTTTGGTTTGTTTTTTCCTTACTCTGTGCAGGTTTCTTGAGAAATTGCATAATATTAACCTACTAATCCAGGAATACCTTCGAGCATGACACTGCAATATTTATTTGCCACTACCCAGAAGTTACTTTGCCTTCCCTGAGCTCTACTGATTTGTTATTCAAAACATTCAATATCATATTTGTTACCATTATAATTTTTTGTATCAGTAGTGTGAAAGACTGAAATGTTATCACCCATCCATACCTGGTACATATTTTTCTAAATATCAAAGCTGGTTGTATCTCAACACAGTCTGCCCCTTTACCAATTTTAGAAGCATCTTATACAAGACTTGTGCAAAGCAGGCACTCAAACAGTGTGGCTTGGCTTCAACTTCAGAGCCAAATTTAGGACAGTTTCACAATCACAGTTTAATTAGCTATGACTTTTCAGTCTTCGCTTCCAGATGGAGAACTGTTTAGCAGTCACCAACAGTGAAATTCCTCTAACTGAACTGTGGATGCTTCTATTACTCACTCTAGGCTTCCTCTGCGCTCAGTTAAGAGAAACAGGTACTTCTTGAGCACAAAGACAACTACTGCTAAGTCAGATGTAAAATAAATCAAGAGTTCTGCTTTTGAAGGACCTGTTTCTCTTCACTGGTTATAAAGGAAATACAGATGACTGTCTGCACTGTCCATATTGTAGATTGAATACACATCTGTGTGTATTACACTGACTTTAGCAATGAGGAGGTATAAAAAAACTAACTGGTTCTTTGAGATACAGGCCACGTGGTTTGAACATTCCTTTCTTACCTGCTCTGGACTGTCTCCCACTAAAATTATAACACTGCAAGACAGCTTACAGGTGTTTGTACGTGTTTTTTCCACCAGCTTTCCAAAATGAGGGGATACTGGGTACGCAGTGACCTAGATTCTTTGTGTGTAACTTTATATACTTTACAATAGGAGTTGCCTCTTTGCATAGTATCGAGATACTATGTGAGCTGATGCCCTCTGGAGGTCCTTCTTATATGCTGCCTGTGTTCAGATCTTCCTGAGGCAGAAGAACACTTAGGTGTTTAAACTTAGGTGTACAGCTGAATGCTGTGAATTCAGGCTACCCGTTATAGGTAATCCATTATGTTCAGGTTCTTTTCTGCTCAGATTCTCATCTTGAGCATACTTAACTGTGTAGCTAAAATGAAACAAAAATCAAATCTATGTTTTTGTAAGATGAGCAAATTTCTTGAATAATAAACCTACATCTGTTTTGTACTTATGAATTCCACTTTTTACTAAAATTTATCTCAAAGTTTGTGTGACTCTCTGTTGTGTTAAAAAGGCACAGTGTTTGAAGAGGTAGCAGCTTTTGGATAGAAGGTAAAGACGCAGTCCTTACATCATTTAAGATAATTTTCCTCTGAGAAGAGAGACTGTAGCCCTCAGGATTCATTAAATTTTATCTCAAATAACTGAGTCTGTTTACCTTCAATACTGTGCAGTTTATTTGAATATGTAGTTCATCCTTTGCTGTCCTAAGTGGTTTTAGTTGTACATTAAGTAGTGGTTTTAGTAATCTTAAGAAAATAATCAAAATAACAGTGCTTTTGTCCTTGCATTGGTACGTACATAACTCATGGTTCAGAGAACAGTTACTACAGAAAATTGCTGTATTTAGATTTGAACATTGCTCTTCTCAAGAGTAAATTCGGATTGCTTAAGTGTGTTTTTTTTCACAGGGAAAATATCCAGGCTTGTTCTATGACAAAATAAGTTAACTGTTAAATTTTCTGGCAGGTTAATTTTCAGCATTCTTTGAATATTTGTTCTTGTTTATTTGTTTTACCAAGAATTAGTATCAGCGGAGAGAAACCAAAAGATCGGTCCTGGCACACGTTGACTGCTATAGGAGATGACAGACTTTTTCTTTTTGGTGGACTAAGTTCTGATGATGTTCCTTTAAGTAAGTAATTTAGAGATTATGTTTCTATGCTACACTTAAGTACTAACCTGATGTAGTGTGTGCATTTTCTGTCTTTGTCAAACTACTTCAACCTAAATCTTGTTACAGGATTTTCATGTCACTGAGTATTTCTCTGGCTGTTTTATTATTTTTATAGACATACGTTGTGTATTACAATGAGAACATAAGGTAATAAATCCTCAAACTGTCTTGTCATCTAAAAGAATAAAGGCAAGAGTCTCACATATTTTGATATGGACAAGGGGTAACTTGTATCAATAGCAGTTACAGGGAGAAGACACAATAATGTCAACATAATGTAGATTTTTGGATGAATAACAAATCACAGCTACAAAATATTAAATAGGAAGTAGAACAGTTTTATACTGAATTGCTTTTCTAGAAAAGGCTTCTTTTTATGAAGAAATGTGAAATTGGTGAAAATAGTTTTGAGTGTCAAAGATATATTCCAGTGAGAGGGGGTGATTTTCTCAATATATCAAGAGAAAAAAAGTGTATTTTAATTCCAGATTTCCATGCTTTCTGTGGTTGAGTGGTTAAATTACACGCTGAAAAGATGATAGTTAATGTAGTGATGATGTCACTGTTATCTTAATATAATGTGCTCTTAGAACACAGAGCTTTTTGTATAAATACAAAAGGTAATACTTTGTCCCAGGAAAAGAATGTTAATGTATGTTCTTACATTGTAGGTGATGGCTGGATTCACAGCGTTACAACAAATGGATGGAAACAACTTACCCATTTGCCTAAGAGTAGGCCTAGGTATACAAAAATAGATGTTTGCTGAAATATATGCATTTTTAAAAATGAAGTAATTTTAAATTATCAAACAGTATTTTTAAGCTATATTATAAAAATGTTTTAGAAAATTAGTGCAGCTTGCTTTACTAACTTATGTTCCTTCCTATCTGATACAACGTTATTACTTTCTGTGTTTGTTACAGTCGATGTTTACTTGAACTAAAAGATTTTTTTAATTTTCTTTTATGATGAGGGATCTGGGTGTCCAACTAATCTGATGTTCTATACCCAAATCATTTTTATACAAGAATATGTAACCACATAACTTTGAGGAATTAATAACCTACGTGAATAATAGAGGCTGATTAATGTTGATACATTATTAGAAACATGGGGGAGACAACCATGAAAATGTTGATGCACCTTTCAGGGTTCAAAGGTATTACAAAATAACTAGTTGTTTGTTTGTGGTTGGTTGTTTTTTTGCCCTGAGCAGGAGCACCCAATTATGATTACAGGTTTGCAAAACTGAATTTAGTACTAAACGGCACATTAAGTGACCACTGTGGAGTTTTATAATTTTTCAAGGTCTTAACTGCCAACCAGAATGACCAAGCCCTAGAATGTGTGTTGCCAGTATGAACCATAATACTGTCTCTTCCAGGTGCTGTGCCTCTTCCCTCTCTAGTTTAAGACTACTATTAATTCTTTTTGACTAAAGAAAGCAAATTTCATGTTGAAGCTGCCATTGACAATAGAGGCTTGCTCTGTCAGAGCACAGACTATTTTGTAACACAGTGTTTAAAGCATTCTCTGTATTTATAAAATAAATACTATTGAATTGATTTGCTGTAGATAGTAAATACTCAGTTTTTCATGGAGTTCACTGTGCACATTCACCAGGTACTCTCAGCACAATTTTATAAAAACTTCTTTTAGTATAGTGTACAGTTGTGGTTTGGCATTTGCATGCTGCCTGCCTTATGTTCTGCTTTTATATTACTGAATTACCTTTACCTCAATTAATTTTTTCCCTGTTTTATCTTATTCTAGGCTG